TTTATTTCATACGTTCTTGACGAAATATCTTTAGACGATCGCTGCTGCACATATTGGAATCGTTACCTTAGAGCTTTATCTAATTCAACTGATGGAAATCTAATTTTTGAAAAAGCTAATCGTGCAGAATTTAGGAAAAGCTGGTTAGATAATTACTTTTCTATCAAGGGATTAAGAAGGTCTAAAAGGTTTGTCCCCCATACATCAATCTTGGAAAAAGTTTTAACTTGGCTCTCGTCAGTGCTTTCTAACTCTTCTATACCTGATAATGATATGTCTAAAATAGATTTACTTCTTCTTTTTCCTGATTCTTTCTGTTAAAACTGTTCTCTGTTTTCTTCGTCTGTTTTAACTTTTTGTGTGTGTTGTTTGTGGTTGGTTCTATATGTATGTCCGTTCTTTTTTCGTTTGTTTGTTCTCTACGTTGTTCTTCGTTTCATTCTCTATGTGATTGTCTCATTATTCTTCCTTCTCTGTTTATCTGTGGTACCGTTAGGATTTCATGATCGCAGTTATTGCATAAATAAAAAAGAAAGAAAGAAAGAACGAAACAGTTATTACGCAAGACGAAATCGAACAGCACTTATAAGAGGTGAGGAATCATCCTCATGACTTATTATGTAACAAATGCATTGAATAATAATGCATTAATTCATGTGTTTTTTCAAATAATGGAAAATAATGAGTCATTTTCCATTATTCATCCATTATCGGCCACATTGGCATCCACACTCATAAAGCAGCTCAATGTCCCTCTCTTGAAGACACAATCTGATTCGAGAATAATTTATTTCAAAATAAATAATATTGCGCATATTTTTTCAAAAACTTTTCATCTATTACTTGTGAGACATTTCAATCGCTCCCGTAGTGTGAAGTGTTGTAATGGCTTTATATTCTGCTGATGTTTCCAATTGTTCGCACGAAGCAGTATGATATTCTTTTAACCATCCTACTTTCATCAGCAGCTGAGCTCCTGCAACGTAAACATCTGTTTCGTTTGTACTTTGGAGCAAAAGAATCTGATTCTCGACCATAGCTTTGGTTGCTGAAGAATAGAATAAACCAGCGATAAACAGTTCAGCCGAATTGCAATAAAAGAAGCCGTAACGTACCTGTTAGTAGACTTTCAAGTGGCTTATAAGCGTTGGTACCTTGATTGATATCTGTTTTAAGTCTAGTAACTAGTTCCAAAAACTTATCAAGATTTTCGCCTTGTAGGCCCATTTTAGCAGCAGTCTTGGATTCAGTTAAGTAAATGTCTTCCAATTGCTTGTTAAGAGAATTAATCTCTCTCTCAATGCCGTCCATGTTTTGACGAAAAGTTTTCTCGTGTTCTATTATACTAATACGAGAGACCTCATATTTAGCCTGGTACTCACTCAAACTAGTACTTAATTCGTCGTGAAGTACCTGTTTTTTATTTTCTTCTGCTTTATTAGCTTCAATACGAACAACTCTTTCTTTTATTATGGCTTCATAAAACTGCTTTTGAATATCTCGATTTGGATTTGGTATCTAAACATCCAGTGAATCAGTTTTTCAAAATTCAGAATACTTATCTATAATTTGCACCGAAAAGGAATATTGAATACTTACTATGTACGAATTCTTGAATGAACCCTGACTGGATGTTCTTGTTTCAAGTACGCCATACGTAGATGAAATGTCTTGAATGGTTTTCTCTATTTGTGCATTAAGTGAAGAAAGCTCCTGAGATCGACGTTTAGTTTCTTCCATCGCTGCCTTTGCACCTTTGATTTTACTTTCCGTAACATGTATCATGTTATTGTAAACTTCAATCAATTCTAAACGAATTCTCTTAATATATATTTATATTAAATTGTTGTGGTAGAGGGAGAATCATTGCAATATCTGTGTACGTGAGTGTGGGTATTGATAGACACATGTTTCACGCTCACGTCCCTTCATGTCACATATTCTATGGGAGGAATTTCATTACAGATTCTCAAAAAAAAAAATCCCTGATTGGTACAAAATCACATTTCTATGAATATATGATTTTCCGATTAAAAATAGGTACTGCAATATTTGGCAAGAAAGGAACTAATATGAATCACAGTGAGCGAATGAAATAATCTAATGGACGTACTTTACGGTGCATTAATTATCGGAGTGAATGCGGAAAAAAATAAGTTTTACCTTTCTTCTTATCGATTTCATCCATCATATCCTTTTTCTTTTTATATTGTTCTTGGAGTTGCTGATGAATTTTAACTTTTTTGCTGATATAATCTGCCATATTTTGTCCCATAATACGGAACAGAATATTAAGTTTGCTCTCTAAAGTGGCCAATATATCGCTGCTCAGTTTGCCTGCAGCGTCAATGCTGGTTTCCAGATTAGCAAATGCAGCAGAGATGGTTTTTTGCGCACTCTGAATTGCAATGGCAGAACCTTAGTAGAGATATGTCATGAAAAGAGTCAAGTAGGTTAGAGAACGCATAAAGGCTACCTTTAAGCTGCATGACCAATCCTGCACCTTCGTTTATGCTAATTGCCAAGTTACGAATCGAAGTAAACGACTGCCAGACGATTGAACGTGCTGTTACGTCCTGCTTTAGAATGTTTACCAGTGTCGGGATAATCTATCAATTACAAATTAATACTCGATAATAAATCTGATTATTATGGCAATTTGGTTTGAATTTCAGAGCGAATTGTACTTACCTGAGAATTCCAAAATTCCGCCATTTCCGTGTTTGTGAGAGTCGGGATATAATCAGTGATCTTAAAGGCTGTAACAACGATTTCATCACATACCTCCAAAGACTTGAATAGAGTTTTCGTTTCCGTCTTAATAGCATCGCAATCATATAAATTAGCTATTGCAGCAGAATCCTTCTTGATAAGCGCTTGCTCTGGTTTTTCACTAGGTTTGTCATTGGTGTTGCCGTCGTCGTCTATATCCCAAATACTGGCCATGCCTAGAATAATAATGATAGTTTTTTTTAAATATTAGCCTCTCAAAATAACTAGTTAATCACGATGAAGTCTTGATAGCGGATAGCGCCTTTACTTATTGCTGTTTGAAAATGAAACTATATAATAACATCACTGCACTAGCAAGCTCAAGAGAGAAAACAACTGGGATCTAAGTTGCCATTAATTCAAACTTGAAGTGGAATTTGAAATTATTTATCAATGTCAGGTCCGATGAAACAAATAGAAATCAATGGAGGAAAGCACTGTTTCAAAGGAGGAGGGCGGATAAGGCCGTTTTACGGCCCCTCCTCTAAGATTTGAATTATTTCTATTAGGTATTAATCAGGGACCCTTCTTGATCACTTTTCTCAACTTTGTTCCCCGAAAATCGACATTGACGATTTTTTTGGCTAGGGTACCCCACAGGTATCATCGAAAACAAAATTCGTTTTATCACGAGCCAAAGCGAGATGTAATAGTAGATTTAAGGGTGCTGATTACGAATATCATAAGAAGTGCTCCGAACATTCCTTTATTCCTTATAAAGCCTGAACCACTCCCTTTACCCTATTTTTCATTGTTTGTACTCTCATAGAATAGCGAAACGATAAACTTTAGTGTAAAATGATTTCCTCTAACTGATAATGATGAGTTCTCTGCGAATATTAAGTTTTTACATCGAAAAAATGTAACTTCTGGAAAAAAGTAGGGATCCTGGCAGAAAATTCGACCCTTCTCTCCATATTTGTCTACCATGATGATGAAGAAAGCCTGCCGCAACGTCAATTTTTAATCGTAACCGTAGTTTTTCAAGCTCTATCGACTGGAGATCTCAAAAATAATAGAAAAATTGTTCGACAGGGTGAAAAATTAAAAATAATAATAATTTTCATAAAATTTCTGTAGGGGACCACCGCCACTAAAATATATAAGATCTTGAAATCAACTGATATTTAGCTCATCTTTCAGAGCTTAATTAAGCGTACATACAACAAAAAAATTATTGGTCTCCGCTCTTTTCTGTGGTTCAAAATTTGATGTGAAATTTTACCCCCTTGCAACGATTCATACATCTTGTGAAACGAATTTGTGATTCAAAGGAAAGAGT